GCGTCGAGCTGTCACCTCACACGACGTGGGCGTGACGGAGACGCAGTCAGCGGGTGGAAGTACCTTGCCATTTCATTCATAGCGTTCATTTGTCTCTGGTAGGTACAGCTTTAGGAGTCAGTCACTCTTTGAGGGGTCTGCCCAACTTAGCTCCAATGGTGACAGGCAAGCCCCAGCCCGGCGCCGGCCCTCATCCCCTCCTTTTCCCTTCAGTGTAGAGCGAGGGAGGGTGCAGGTCTTGTACAGGTGGGGCTGGGGGTGATCCCCACACAGGCCAGTCATCAGCATCCTTCACCCTGTGAGCGGATCTGTCCAGAACTACAACTCACTGCTATGGCTGCTGACACCATTTCTCTAGCATGCCCTACCTGAGACATGGATAGGGCCCCAGGGAAGGGAAGAGGAGAGGAAAAAATACTATACCAGTGAAGAGCCTGCAATACCTGTGCTGTCAGTAGATGATAACGGACAGTTTATAGAGGGCAGGGGAGATAGTCCTTTCTCCAGCACCTCCTCACACTTGATGAATCCATTCCCCAGTTACCCTGCGAGCATAGAATCTGCTCGTAGTATTTTGCAAACCTCTGACCAATAATTTCTGCTATCTGGCAGAATTAGTAAGTGGATTTCTGACTGATGTATTTTCTGGTTTTCCACCAAGTTGTGATGCAGAGAGAGAGAAAATACATAGTCTATAGGTCAGGCATATGAAAAAAGGGTATTCAACATATGTAAGGTACTACATGTCCTCTGTTACTGTAGCGTCTGAGTGTATTTATCCTTGCAAAGCGCAGTAATGTCATGCTGGTATTCCTATTTTGCTATTTGGAAGCAAAGGCAATGGGTGTCAGCAACACCCCTGAAATCATAGAGGTATGGCAGAACAGGGAAAAGGGGTCTCCCAAGTCCTAGGCTAAATATCCTTACCACTGGAACTCCCATCCTGTTGTTTTATGGGCTCAAACATGTGCTCATAATCTTAGAAGACATAGAAAATTTAGAAATAAATACTAGAAGAATTAGTTTAAAAACTCATAAAGAATTTCCTAGTTGGTTGCAGTTACACATAAATGGGATCTTTGTGCTCTGAAGACCAGCAGTTTATGAAAATAGTCCAGAAAGAATGTGTTATGTAAATTGCTATGGAGACTGTTCATAGATAAACCTAATGTGCTGCTTCCTTTGCTGGCCTCTTAGTCTCTGCTGATGTCAATATTAGTGAAAGATTTCTAATACCTTCCAGGAGCCAGTTCTTAATTAGCAAACAAGTTTGCATCCCCTGCCTTCTGAAGGAGCTTTAATCAGCCCTTGTTTTCCCACAGGACAATCTACCTTACTACCATAATTGGAGTTCATTTCATTGAGAATTTCAGACACCAGATAGTCTTAGCTTCTTTTCCTCAAGAAAGTGAAGTTGCAGCAGGTCTCCAAAATCATCACCTCTGTTTTTTTGCTACCTAGACCTTATTATGGGAATGAATAAAGATACTTATGGCAGGAGATCAGATGTTAAGAAAGTCTTGGCCTGTGAAACAGTCACTGTAGGACAGCTGTGTGCAACACTGAGGATTGCTCTTGCCTGCGGAAAACAGCATAAAGTCTTCTCTGTTCACAAAGTTTCCATCCTTGTCTGGGAAGTGATCAGGGTTAAACTATCAGACTCTCCCATTGCTTTTGATCATACAGGACAGAAAATATGTTGGGGAAAATTAAGGTATCGTACTGAAAGACAAAAGGAACATATAAGGATCTTTTTCACAGAGTCAAAAACTAATGACTTAAATTGTCAAGATATCAATTGCTTTAGTGAAATTGCCCAATGCAAGTGCCAACTAATTATTACTGAGTGAAAAACAGGGTCACACTGTGCTATGTCTTACAGAATAGCTTATTTAGAAATTATTAGGCACTATTAAAGACTGGTTTTAGAGCACCAGAGAATGCAGTAATTACAGTAATCAAAAACTTGGGGGAAAAAAAACCCTGCCGCTGAACTGAAGGCTTCACACTGATCCAAGACCCCTGACTTTGATCTTGATTTTCTCAAAGACATCTTCCCCCAAAGCCACATAGGTCTTATCCATTGGGAAGACCACCTACATGAGGTTGGATATGATTTAAAGCATCCTGCTGATACAATAAATTGCATATACAGACACTATTTTTCCAGAATTTCCATGGGTTTTATATTTAGCTTGAACCAGTTTAAAAGAAGCCTAGGGTCATTATACCAGTACCTTTATACTGATCTAACTCTTTAAATCCTGTATAGAAAAATGGTAAAAGTAATGTTTGTGTGAAAGGAGAGGGAGACTGAGTACAGGTTTATTCATGTTATAAGATGTAGATAATGTCCAGCATCCTATTCACAGTGAAGAGTTCCTCACAAGTTGTTCAAACTGACTTTTGAGTAGTTTTGCAGCTGGGGACAAAATATAAACACAACATGTGGTGTTTAAATTGGTGGGAGGGATCTGTTGCCTGGCTTTGCTTTGTCTAAGGATTGTCCCCAAAGCTTAGTGGCATTAACATACCTTAGTTAAGGGAAGTCTTGCAGTGTGGTATTCTGGGTGCACTTGCGCATAAACCCTACTGCACTTATGCTGCTATAGTGCATAATCTCATGTAGAACTGCATTTGTGTATGGCAGGATCGTTCAGTCCTTATATTAAATTCCATAGGATGGACCAATGACAGCATTCAACTCTTCTTGGACTGGTTCTGCAGAAAAAGGAACTAATAGTGAGTATTCAAGAAGGCAGCTGATGTGTAGACTCTGCAGAAACTCAAAATTCCCAAGACACCTGATACTGCAGGACTAGGGCAGCTGAGTCAACTGCATTTTGCCTATTACCCTGCCATGAGGAAGGTCAGCAACATCTGTAAGCACAGCTAGATGCATTTCTCACCTTGTACTTCCAGATATACCATCACGGAGAGCCCAGCACAAAGTGATAGTGGTGCTGTCTAAGCCTGCTATGAAGAGATCTGTGATTGCTTGCACCATGTTGGTTTCAGTGAATGTAGAGAGTGGGTCATCCTTTGCCTGCAGATGAGACACAGACAATGAGATTTAAGACTGTTTTAATAACATAGCAAATTTCCAGCAACAGAGGTTTTTTTCATCACCGAGTCCATACTGAGTTGATGAAGCTGGTAAGACAGCAGCCATGTAGCTCTGGTAAAAAAAAATCTTGCTGACTGAGGAAGACAGCATACAATAAGCTTTCTTTCATTCTAGGGTGGAACAACATTACTGTCTCTGTGGTGACTGCCAAGGAACAGCCTCAGTACCTTCACAAAGTGCTTTGCTTTTGAGGTTGAATTCAAAGAAAGAAATAGCTCGACGGTGTCACAGAAGGAAAAGGAGAAGGCAGTAGGAGTGCAGCTGGAAATAACTACAAGCATTTTAAATATGTTGCAGCTGCACAAGTGACAATTACTTGTTACCTTTAACATCTGAGCTAGGTATGCATAATGAAGTTCTGTGGCTCTGCAGGTAGCCAGCTCTGCTGGTGGTTCCTGATCTCATCCTTAATAAGTGTTCATAGGTCCTGCAAGTGTGTTAGTGCCACCAGCAATCTCATTAACACGGTTGCTTAAGTGCCTCAACAGTGATGGAAAAGTGTCATAGAGCTGCATGTGGAAATACAAACACAAGGAACATGGTGACATCTTGGCTTCATAGTGCATTTAAAGCCTGAATGTTCACAGCTGAACCATGCCTAACCATGGCTATGATCCAGACGTATTACTTGTCTGACTATACAAAATGAATAACCACTTAATTTAAAAAAAAATTATCTTGGAGAGAAGAAGTGTGTGAAGGATCACCATTGCCATAAGGTTATTTCCAGATTGCCTGCTCTCCACTAGTAACTTTCAGATTTGGAGGATTTAAATGCCCTTGAGTACAGTTTTTCTTATGTTTTCTAAGTGAAGCCTTTCCCAAATGACCTGTTCCCTCCTAAATCTTAAGTCAACACTTGGCTGTAGTTCTCAAAGCCACAACCATGTTAGCTTGTCCTGTTTTTTCTGGATGGTGGTTGCAGCCCAATCTAAGACAGGAAGTCAGGGCTGTTACAGAACCCTTCAAGGCACAAACTAAGAGAAAAACCCGATTCTGGCCCCAGGGCAAACTTGATGCTGAATATCAATTTGAAGTCAGATCAGTCTCTCTGAAGAGAGATATTACCAGAGATTCAATGGGCCTGTAGACAAAGCAAGCCAGGAATGGTTGCAGAGGGGTCATTATTGAGAACAAAGGGGACAGAAGTGAGTGCGGGTTTTCGCAGAGTTCAGTGTTTACTCAAGAGCTCTTCCTCTCTGTGCATTGGCAAAGAGTGACCATTTCATGCCATGGCTCACTGGGGAACGCCGTTGGGTTTTGATACAGTTACAGGGAATGGGTCAGTCCTTGCCCACCTGAGGCCAGGAGGTGCCGTGGAATTCTGCCATGGCCTGGGAGCCTCTGAGCAGCCTCTGGCACATGGCAGCCTCTGTAGAGAAGCAATGTCCAAAAAGCACATCAGCAATCATATTGTTGATGGAAGAAGGGAGTGGGACAGAGAGATCCATGCCTACAAACAGAGAAAGCTGCATCATTAACTTCTTTTATAGGCTATGACCCTTTGTTACACTGGGCTCCCATCCAGCCTGCTCTTGATTTGCATCGCGTTACGCAAATAGCTGAGCCTGCAGGAATCAAGATGCAGGAGTCTGACTGGGAAATTGTTCTTCAGGCACCTTTGTAATGAGTGAGGGAAAGATTCCATCCTGTAGAAAAGTGCATAATCAGCACCATTTAGGAGTCTCTGATTTGTCACTTTCTCCCATAAAGGGTTAGGATGAAAGCAATGAGTCAGGTGTGATGTTCCAGCCAAGTGAAAAATGACTTGTGAAAGCATCAGCTGTGTAAACCTCCCATTGAACCTACTGCAGAAACTGCAACTTCCAGTAGAAAAAGCAGGGTTGGAAATAAGGAGAATGAGCCCATATCATAACCACATACAGATCTATATTTCACCTCTTTCTCTGGCAAAGACATCAATCATGCAGTGAGCTTCCTCTTGGATCCAGGCTTCCAGGCTTTTCTTCCCTAGTCCTAGGTTCTTCAGAGCCATCAGGCTGAACCATCTCTGCATCTTCCAGATGTGCCCATTGGCAGAGATGATGCCTGGAACAAAATGGAGAAGGACTGGGGAGAAGTATGGGACTGGCATCTCCATAAGCAGGACTGGTGAAATCACAGTGGTTCCAAGATTTATCACCATGAGTTTGGAAGGATCCCTGGCAGTATTTATATGTGGAATCAGAGGTGTTTATGCTGTTTTTTCACATCTACTTGATCCTTTTTGTGGGAAATAAGTTCCATGCCTGTCTTTCCTTTTCTGCTCCTTTACCTAGAACCATGCACTCAACACATGCTGGGTTCTGCTTTTTACACATTTACACATTTTACTGCAAAGACTTCTTGAGATAGCTTGGTAACATGCCCAGTAACTAAGAATTTCCCAGGCTATACAAGTATTTAAATGGGAAACACATTAGTTCTGTGTGCTGAATGTATATTTGGGGCCCAGCGTTTCAGAAGGACATGCAGCAGTGGTTCTACAGCATTCATCTTGCTGCCAAGAGCAGCTCATCTTGAAAAGAGGCATTAAAAGTAGATGCAGTCATTGTACCAAACCCCATTCTCTGAACAGCTTGTTCTGCTAAAAATATTTCAGTACACACAACCACAGAAAGTACCATAGGGGCCTCCCACGACATCCCTAAGAAGGGATGCCATGGGTGTCTCACAAAATTCTTCTGCATGACCAATCAAGGCATCCTTCACTACTTGAAATCCATTTAGCAAAATCACTGGTGTTTTTCCTAGCCAGAGTATGTGTTTCCATACATCCTGGCCACCTAGAGAGACAAGAAGACACATGATGACATAAAGATATGAGACAGAGAGGCCCTCCCACAGCTTAGTGGTACTCTTAGGCCAGAGCTCAAAGACAGTTTCTATTATGTAAGGGCTGTTTTGCATCCCTTGGCATTGCTCAAGAAAGGGATGGGAGAAATTTCATCCTGCTGTCAGGAAATAAAAGAGGTTGGAATCATGTTTCACTATTAAAATCTTAAAAGGCTTTCACTGTTATTAATGCATTGCATTATTATTTACAGCTGTTATTATTAATGTATTTGCAGTTTATATACCCATCAGTGCAACAACCATGTCATGTTACCCAGAAATACTTCAATGGGCTTTCTTCATTTACATTGCCCCACCAGAGGTGATTGATGGATACTGCAAAATCATAAATGTTGCTTTTATTATCTTTCCATGTTTATTTGTTTTCCAATCATACAGCTTTTTCAGTGTATCAGCTCACAAGGAACAGCCTTCATCATTAAAGTAGAAATTATAGTTGTAATTAACACGTGCAGCCATGAGATGGTAATGTTTGCTCACCGTTCCACTGAGCATTGTGCTTGCAAAGTCTAGCACAGTGAGGCAGTTAAGCCAAACTTTTCAAATATAGCCGTTGATCTGGGGTATCTTATTTGAGATGTGTTGAGTATCATGAGCTGCCTGGGAAGTACTTCACTCCTACAGATCCTACTGATTGTCACCGGAGTTTGGGTTCTCGGTAGTTCTGCAAATCAAGTCTCTAGCACCCATAAATTAGAGACCAGTTTTGAACTCTTCACCCCTGGGTAGTTGAGAAAGACCTAATTGCACAGAGGAAGGGAAGATGAGGTAGTGTTACCTTGCTCAAAGATTTAGGATTTTGGATAGGAACAATATCAGCTAGCCTGTGACTCTATGGGATAAGGAGGTAAGGATTTCTGAATATCTATTTCAGGGATTTTAAAGTATGAAGCAGAAGGATGAATAAAGATCATGCTTACACATGGTTTTGGTGTTACATATATATGTACATGTAACACAAACCATATGTTGTTACATGTATTTGTATATGTAACACCAAAGCATATGTAACTATATATATATTTATGCAACTATATATAAAATATATATATAACATGTGACCTTATTCTGAGCACTTGCAGCACTTTGGTAATATGTGATGGGCACTTGAAAGATTTTCATCAAGGCGTGTCTCTGCTTTAGGGACTTTCGGGGAACGGGTGAAAAGATGCCATTTGTAAAGCTGTTAAGAGTTTGACTAAGCACAGTTTCCACATGTGTCCTGGCTTCTGCAGGTTGCTCTTAGGAATCCACTGATAATGTTCTGTTGCTGAACTCACATATGTTGCTAAGGAACATCTATAAGCAGGACTGCATCTCTCTGGAGGTGGGTGCAGGCCTCCTCCTTTGCAATTGTTGGAAACAAAGATGTAGCCAGGGATTCTGAAATATGCTGACCATACTGAAAACGCATGCAAATATGATCAGGCACCTAGCTGCTGCCACTGGCTGTGAGCAATGGCTGTTTTCTGTAAGGGAGAGTAATCTGAAGAATGGTTTTCACAGGAGTTGGGAGTTGAGTTTCTTGCCTTAATAGCCCAAGTAAGGTGGAGAGGGAAGAAAAAACAACTGCTTGAATCCCTGAATTGGATTCCATCTAGTACCCAAAGGAACTGCAGAGCCTGTGTTTCCTTCTGTACACACAAGAAAATAGGGAGCCTTAATGATGCATCTTGTCTCACGCACCTCCCAGGCTTAGTGATTCTCCTTTTTACCAACATTGCTGCATTTCCCAGGAGAGCCAGAGATGGGGTTATGGCATGAATTCTGAGCAAGAATCCTTCTTGGCTCATCTTCCAGCAGCACATGGAGAAAGGAAAGGGTCCTGTGGATCTTGTTTGGCAGATGAAGCATGTAGACCACATTAACAATTGTCAGTAACATTACTAATGTATTCCTTCTGTGCCTCTGCACTGTCTAAGAAAAAAAAAAAAGCCAGAAAGCCAGGGTGTTGATACTCTACTGTACCAAATAGTACATAAAATGTCACCTTGCTGCAGTTCTGTGCAGCTGCTTACTTATGTAGTCAAATGGATAAAGACTTTAATCTATCCACTTGGTTGTTTTGCAGTGCACATCAGCTCTGATGATTACTGACGCTTGCAACACCCTCCCAAAACAAGCAGAACGCTGGGGAAGAGGAACTATTGTCTCAGTGCAACCTTCAAAATCTTAACACCACACGTAACAAGGCTTTTCTTTGTCCTTTCCCCTAAAAGCGATGTCATTCATTCCTATCCCCAACAGCAAGGACTGGCCTGGAGCACTAACACCTCCAGTGTGCTGCAGCCTCACACACTTTGCTGCTTCTGCATTGGCTAGGCCAGGCTTCTGTCTAAGGAAGCCTTCCAAGGCCTTTTTGTGCCAAGACATAACCAGACAATGGCAGTATTGCCAAAAAAAGGGCTACAGGATTCAGACCTCAAGCAAATAAGCTTTGCTTTCTGCCTCTCACTGATGAGTTTTGCTTATTCTTCCCATCTCCTTTCCTCCCTGCTTGTAGCTTGAACTGTAGTAACAGGATTCCCCAGGCATTATTTTTGATGTGGTGACTGTTCAGTGATTTGCACCATTTGCAACTGTTGTTACAGGCCCTTTCCACTCACTGCTAATCCTCTCAAAAGTCCAACAGGGAGACAGACACAGGGCTTGAGGTTCTGCCTAGAAAGTTCACAGTTCAGACTGAAGCCAGGAAGGAGCAGAAAGCTGCTTTTACCTTCTAGCCAAGGATACATTAGGAGTCTGCACCTGAACTATTCATAAAACTATAAAAAGCATCAGTACCTTCAAGAGTGTTTCATGGTGAATTTGGAAGTCCAATGTCTAAGGGAGAGGTATCAGTCCTAGAGGCAGCTTCCTTTGGGCCCTCTGGATGTTCAGGAATATCGGAGAAATCCAGACAAAGAGAAAGACAAGAACACCCACAAAAATTTGACTTCAAGAAAACATTGCTGTCCTCATGTCCCTCCTCACTCAGCTATGACCTGCTAGCCCCACAGCCATCAGCCCCCAGATCCACACCCCCACAGGCATTAGCCATGTTGTAGCGCTTGGACAGCACAGGCAAATTGACCATGTCTAGTCCCAAGCAAACACAGCTAGGCCACAACAGAGTGTGTCCCTTGAACTGTGCACAGACTGAGCAGGAAAATGGATCAGGTGAACTGAGGTGAGCCACTTTTCAGCTGTCACAGTGAGGACAAGGCTGGTACCTTGGTCTGGACATTAGCTTAGACTTTAGAGACTTGGTTCAATTCCCTGCTGTGCCACAGATCTCCTCCGTGATTCTGGGCAAGCTGCTTCATGTAGTTTCATGCTATAACCAGTCTGTAATCTACCCATAAGCAAGATGCTTTGAAAATGAATAGTCCCATCCCTTCATTTTCCCTTTCACCAGGATTGTGTCTAGTGACCACAGAGCCATAAAGCCAGTGGATTAATTTGTCTGATATGGTGGAAAGCCTGTCAGTTGTAGTAACATTTTTTTGCTAGCTCAGCAGTCTGAACATACTCACCTGCTGGCTGCTGTCTCATTAATGCAGCACAAGCAGAGTGAGAACATGGCCAAGGACAAAAGGGGTAGGACCACCCCTTTTGGCAGACTCCCTGATCATTATAACTGCAGCACAATTCTTTATCTGAATCCGCTCTGCCTCAGAGTTCCCTCCTACTTGAGCTCCCAGGGCTGTTGCTATCACAGATACATTCCCAGTTAACTACTCCAGTGACAGGAGAGAGAGAACTACCTTGTACAGAAATTGTATTACACTCTCAGGTGATTGTTTCCTTCTAATGCACTAAAAGATTCTCAGCTAATGCCCTAATAAGATTTATAGGTAGTGAGTGTATGGATGGCTCAGGAATAGGGAAACATAATAATGGGAAGACTTTATGGAAGACTGAAAACAAATCTAATAAATTTGATATTCTTCAGAAACATTGTGATAGACAATGAAGCATTGCAAAACATTTAAAGAGATCATGCAAAAGCACCCAGGAATTGCCAGCACTGTTATCTCCCCCCAGTGAAACCTTTCTCTGAGAGATTTGTTTAGTTTTGCCCATCTTCAGCATCAGGAATTTGAAGGACTTTCAGGGTGTCTGCAACTGCTCAGAAGAGGCTGTACGGGGGGAGGACAGTGGTGGCCTGTAAGGCAAAAATTTTGATCCTGTGTTGCAGCTGGATGTTAAGGATGGGAGTTTCCCCTCTCTTATTGAATGTGCATCTGAAGCACTGCTGTCTCATTAGGACCACCCTGGGAGAGACCTGGGCAGCTGGCTGTGCTCAGCAGCATGGTTGCAGAGACACTGCGCTCGCTGCTGTCATCTTACAGGCTTGTTACATGCCCAGCTCCCTCTGCTTTCATTCTGACTGTCACAGAAATGAGAAAAGAGTGAATGCTTCTTGCCAAGGTGCAAGGCAGCAAGATGAAGCTAATGGGCCTGGGTAAGTCCATGATTCTCAATAAATCAAAGACGTGTTTGCCAGCTCACAAAGAGTATGAATTTCCAGTTGGATACAGTTTTACAAGTTTTGACCTCTACACTTCCATCCTAATCATCTGAGAAAGCACAATCCAAGTGGTTTTGCATATGACTTCATTAGTCTCCCCTCTGCTCTGGGATAAGTCAAAATACGGAGCAGTGCCCAGTGCAAAGTGGTCGTTGTAGTTTCTGTTCCTGTCAAAAATAGGTTGCGGAGAACCCAGACCAGGTTGTCTTCATCAAATTGCAGAGCTGGGATTGCCTTTAATCTTCAGGCGAGAGTTTAGGGTGAGTACAGCAGACATTACAACATGTGCAGTCATTAACTCCAGATGACTTCAGCAAACAATGGTTTGCAGAATCTGTGATTTTCCAAAGCAAATAAATGTGAAGAGCAGTAGGAAGTAGTAATAATATCTCGTAAGTCTCTGTTTCTTCATGTCTGAACCAAGTATCCTGTCTCGTAGGCGGTGTTAAGAAGCGCTTTGAATGATAGCAAAAGATCAAGCTGGAAGTTTTTCAATGGCAGATGTTTCTTTCAGAAATCTGCTGATCTGCTGAATTCAGAACGCTCCATGGGATTTTCTTATTTCAGTGAAAGCTTTAGCACAAGTTTACAGAGTCCCACTCCTCCACCACTGTCCTCCTGTGCCATCCTGCAGGGACAGAGCCCTGTGGTATCCCTGGAAACTGCAGCTGTGGTATGATCCTTCTTTACTAAAGAATGTGCAAAACATGCAAGCTGTTGACAAGCAGAAACTTTACTGTGAACATCTGGGAGATGGGCAAAAATATCATAAACCAGTAGCAAATACATAGCAGCCTTGCCTTTATTCTTTCTACTTAAATTCCTAGCAGCTCTCTCACCATATTCAAGATAAATTTCAGCAGTAAGTTCTGCTATTTAATTTTACCAAGAGATGTATTTTGGCACCATGAGGCTGGTTCAGTTTCAGGACTCCGATTAGCAGCATCTAAAAATATATGGCTAGAGCACCATTAGGAACCATCTGAAACACCTAACCTGAATGACTACAAAAAAAAGAACCCTTTAGTTGTCAAGAAAATTAAGATTCAGAGAAGGCAAAATCTCAAGAAATAGTTCTTCTCATCTGACAGACAAGCTTTTTAGATACTTTTGCCACAGTGCCATACTGTCAGCCTAACTGCTGCTGTAGCTGTCTTGCAGCCTTTTCTGCTTTTCATGTTTTGTCCTGTGGATCATACCTGTATTCTTTGTATTTTTTAATTTCTTTGTATTGATCATTATTCCATTTGTGCTGCTTATATTTTTAATTTTCTTTCTCTTGTAGGACCCCTCTGTCTCAACCTTTTACATCTGCAGGATATGATCTTCAAGCAGTTTTTTAACTGATTCTCCTGGAAACAGCTGCATAGAACCAAAGGTACTCACAGGAGGTTGGGAGGTGGTACCCAAATTAAACATGTCATTCACTATTCCTCTGAATCATGTTCTCTACATGATACTCATAGAGAAATAATTGCTGTGAGACCAGCAAGAAGACTAATCAATATTTTCCAGGCTGTGCTGTGTAAGGTTGTACCAATGTCTCTTTTGAGGGTGATAACAGAAAAAAAGCAGCCCACAGCCAGTGAAGGTATACAACAGAAGTGGTAATCCTGGGTCCTTTGGTAATAAGAAGATAGGTAATTCTCTGTAATATCATGTCCTCTCTGAGACTCTAATCACAAGGAAACAGAAATGAAGCTTTCCAAAGCAGAGAAGAAATTATGTCCTTTCAACTGCCTTTTTTATAACCTTGCACTATTATTGCAATCAATATTTTCAAGAAAGCTGATTCCCTCATTCTTACCTCTTGTATAGTGATATGGTCAACCTTGCATGCTCTGCTACACAGCAACAAACTACATACAAAAAAACCCTTCTGAAGGAATTTTGAGTCCTGATGTATGACAGCACAGGTTGTTCCCAGCACTGATCTGTTGACACTGAACACTGGAACTGGGGAAACTTCTCAAGTCTTACCTGGCATTTGATGATAAAACCCCTGAAAACTCCTTGCAATTTAGTGGGACCACTGGGACTTCCAAATTTGGTCTACTGGCATCCCACAGGGCTTGTAGTTAACATGCCTGGTATGGATTTGTCTCTTCAGGTGCACCTCTCTTGAGTCACCCAAGTACACATCAGTTGCCAAAGAAGCTCAGAATTAAAAGAAGAATGGCGAATTCTGATGATTGCAATGTTAGAAACAATCATAAAAACCATGAAGTAGGAAGATACATGTGAAATCCCTTCTGCAGGAAGACACCAGGTCTCCTCTGGGTCATCCCTTCATTGCCTCAGCTACAAGCCAGCAGTGGCAGATCCTGTCTTAGACCAGACCCCGTTCTGAGTCTCCATGGCTCTGATGACAGTACCTGACCACAGTCTGAACCTCACTATGGCAGTAGAGCTCTTCATTCTCCTTCCTTGTGAATATGTTTAAGAGCACTTGTCCCTGTTGCAGCTTGGATTAGCGGCAGGCACAGGCAAAAGCACAAAGAAATCACCCTCTCAGCTTGTTTGAATGTGTTGTTCTTGGACACACACATCCCCTGTGGCATGTTGATTTCTTTCCCTGGGAACTGTCTTCCTGATTAGAAAATAATTCAATACTGGTTTACCTGATTTCTCCTCTCCCAGGATGATATGGCTCCCTCTCCCAGATGATATGGCCTTCCCTGTAACAGTCTTCATGGCTTTTTGCAAACTACCAACATTTACATCAGACAGAATATGATCTGTGTAACACTTCTGATTAATTCTGACTCAAGGTGCTGGATTGTGTCCCTGAAGAGAAAACACATACCTTGTTTTGCCAAAGTTGCCAGTCATTTTCCCCTCCTCTAGCAGTTTGAGGATCCAGGTTGCTCCATGACATCTGTAAGTCATCTCTCTTCTTTTGCCTCATTCTGGAGAGAATTTCTTACTGAGAATTTCTTATTCGTGAGGTCACACTGGAGGCCAATAGGTTGTAAGGAATAATGGGCTGGGGAAGTGTGAGTCCTTAACTGAAATGTACTAGTGACTGTATTGGTTACCACCAAATATGGCAAAAGAAAGGTAGGTAGGTCAGCGTAATTTAGGCTGGTGTTTTTTATGGAGAGAGGCTTAAATAAATCCGTATTTATTGTGTGGAGAATGATGGATTTCTTTGGAAGTTCAGTACTGCTAAATACCATACCATTTTACCTCTGTAACTTTATTTGAACTTGGAAATCTCTCCTTTAGACTGCTGGTGCTTGCAACAATAAACTGAAGGTTTTCAAATTGACTTAATTGTTCCCTGAGGGTGGTAATAGTGCTTTCTTAACTGGCTTTTGGCTGACTCACAAACACTCCGTTTTCATTCCCTCTCAGGGAATGTGTCAGAAGGCTCCCCTAAACCCACGCTTTTTTTCCATGGACTCTGGCAGTGACACATGTTTTTGCAAGAGTAAGCTACAGATACAGGATTACTCCACATATAACGCACCTTATTTACATGGCATATTTTGATTATTTTGTAATTTATCTGCTAGCTACTTTAAATAAGTTGTGTAACTTCCTCCAGATGTTGTGTTGGT